CGACGCCGGCCCTCGGCCCTGGATTGGGCGCTGGCTGTGTGGACTCCCCGGTGGGGCGGCCACCCTGGGGGCAACCTCCTGCCTGGGGATAGCTCTGCTCGACTCGCTGTGTCAAGTATTCCAAGTAGTCGAGCATGGCCTGGAACTGTTCATTAGYGATAAGATTTTGTGTATTTCTCGTTATTCGTACCATGTTGATTGGTTGGAGCTTGGGGACTTGTTAGATTGTTAAAGTTCTTTTAGGGAGCATCCTAGCGATGTGTTCCCACGGACGACGCCAATTGTTGATGCTCAGGATGGCCGAGGATAACAAAGTAATTTCACACCTAGACTCCGAATGGTCGGACGAAGGCTTCAAGGGTTTGGGGCTTGTTGCCAAAGCCGAGGTATATAGGCTGAGATAGAGAGGGCTCCGAATACTGTCTAAGCCGAAGGCAGGTGATCGAAGTACTACAAGGCAAAACACGTCAGAGGCCCCGGGTGAGAACCCAAGGYAGAGTCTCCGACGATCAAGTTAGTACGGGGTACGAAGAGGGGAATTAGAATATAACTCTTGAGGTTTAAGCCCTGATGCAGATTGTATTCGATCCCCCTTACCTGGAGGGGGGCACCCCTATTTATACTTAAGCTGCCTGGAGGTAGGTGGAGATGAGCGCCTGAGATGGGCGTTGTATGATGGCAATCAGAGAGCTCTCTGGGGACGCGTGGGCACTTCGCGGTTTGCTCCRTACGAAGGGAACAGAGTAACCTCTGTTGTAGCGGATCTCGTTCCCCGTTCTTGCGCTTGTGGGTTGGGCCTCCCAGCCTCAAATGGGCTGGGCTGGGTCACCCCACATCAAAAACAATGAAAGGAATTAAACACAAGGTGCCTAATACATGTTCTTCAAAGAGGCCAAAGAATGCTTTAGAAAAGGCTATAACAAGGAAAACAAAGTGAAAGAAGAACCAAACTATTTGATGAATGTTCTACCGAACAACCTATACAGGTGATTTTTTTTTTAATTCATCAATTAAAAGTTTACTTTTTGCTCGTGATCGCTAATTAAATTGTGACAATGTACAAATCATGAGGTGAAAGTGATATAAATAAGAAGAGGACAAAACTAACAAAGTCAAAAGAAGTTGACAAACCTTCTCAATCTATACAGCTATTGTTTTGATTAAATTATGAATGTGTRTTCTTGTTTGGATACTAAAGTTTTTATATTAATAGGATTCATGGTTCGAAGAGAATAGCCTGAATAAAAACAATGCGCCCCATCATGTTTAGGTATAAAGTTGACTGACTTGGTCTTTATCACTTAACTTATATACTTTGATTCTTCTAACCAGATTTTATGTTTAATGAATGTTGGCACCATTGCTTCAATATTCTTAACTTATACACTTTGATTCTTCTAATCAGATTTTATGTTTTAATGAATGTTGGTACCATTGCTTCAATATTTTATCTAGTTTAATAAATGTATCTCTCTTATATATATATATATATGTATTTTTTGTCACAACCATTATCGAATTATTGCATGCATGAGCAAAGAGTTTTGCTCGACCATCTTGTCCCTTCTTTGCAGGCCCATCAGTCCTCCCTCTTTGCCTCTATGTTTGGTTGGGGATAGTGTTGCATATCATATCACAGGACTATTGCTTTTGGTATGGTCTTGGCACTGGGATCTCAAAGAACCACTGAATGCAGTTGCTAATGTTGCCAGTTGCAACTGTGCCCAGTAGAACTGTCAACAGTCAATGTTCTTCTGGCCTTTAAGCAGTTGCTGATGTTGCTGCTGCAAGAAAAAACTGGATTTTATGATATTGGCATTAGARCGGAAAAGCACCACGAACAAATGAAAGGAAATTTCCCAAATAGATGCAACAACCCAGTAGAAGAAGAAGAAGAACTAACACAAGAATAGGAGCGGAAATATGTTCTTCTCTGATTCATTTTCTTCTTTGGAACTCCTGCAAATCTCTTCTTAATGCTGCACAAAGAAGAAAYAATCTTCTTAATGCTGCTTAAACAACACGTGATTTGCAGACTCCTGCAAATTTCTTGTTAATGCCACCCAAAGAAGAACCACCCTCCACCGTTTCATAACAAATCAAACGATTTCCATTCCTGGGTTGAGTTTTTTTTTTTTTTCTGTAAAAAGATCTACTTTCTAGAAATTGGTTGTTAATGGCGTCTGGATTTGGAAAGGCTTGAGTTTCCTTTTTTTTCTTGTTTAGCCTCTTTCCTAATTCAACTGGGCAGTCAAATTTTCTATTTTTACTCCATCTTTTTCTTATTTTTAAGATATAAAAATTTGAAATAGGAGACTAATGCCCCAAACCTTAGCATTAGACCACATCTATGCATGTAAGTTGGGAATACATGTGAAGTGGGACGTGATTAAATGTCATTGGAAGTGTACCTCGTCCCACACCATATCAAGTGCAGGAAATCCGGGTTTGTCCAATCATACATTCAAAAGCGGTTTCCTCTCATTTCATTTTGAATCGATAATTTCGATCATACATTCAWMKGTGCCTCTGACACCGATCTGTTATCATTTGTTCAAGGATTGCAAACCATTGGTAGACGTCGAGGTTCTGCATTGGGSCATTTCGATTAAGGTTAGTTAGTTTGATATCTGAGAATCCGGGTTTCCTACTTGAAGGTTTGACGTTGGGAGTTTTGGAAATTCGGATTCTGAGATATGGATTTATCTTCTGTCAGCGAGGAGCTAGCGGAGATCGATGGACAGATTAGTGAAATCCTCCGTAGTTTATCGTAAGGATTTTGGATATTTCGATTTTTGATGGATTCGTCTGTATATCTGCAAACTCCTGTCTACGTTGTGTTGGACATATGGGACGTTGTATTTTCATATGCAGATTTTAATTCGATATGATAGCTGAATATACTAATATTTCATTTTCAATATTTATCTCTAGATTTTGAAGATCATTTCATGCATTTCCTACATTGTGAAAGGATTTCTGAAATAGTTATATCTTCCTTTTCTTTCAGAAATGGATTCCAGAAGTTGCAGAAGATCAAGGATGCAAATAGGCAGAGCAGACAATTGGAAGAGCTTACGGAAAAGATGCGGGAGTGTAAGAGGTTAGTTGTTACCAGCTTCTTGCCTACTTTTGTAAGCCAAACTTATGTAGAACCAGGAACTTGAAAATGTGCTTAGGGAAGTAAGTAGTCTAGGTTGGAAAATCACATAGTCACAAAGGCGATTAGGCGCCCACCTAGGATGTTTAGGCAATGAATCTTTTTTTATTATTTTTTTTTTGATAAAATATTGGGTGATTTTTGTTTTTGTTTTTTAATAAAATATTAGGAGAATCTCTCGTATCGTATAGCCTATGAATTATGAAAAACTAGAACAACAAGGGAATGGATCTCTATTTCTATTAATGCAGGTTGGAGATGTAGAGACAATGTGTTTGTCGTTTTAAGGATAGATGAACAAAGCATCAAGGGATGGGGCCCTTGTTAGTTTGAATACATCAAAGATACAGAGGAGAGATTATACGAGAGGGTTAATTGCAAAGAAAAGGAAAGAAAACGAAAGAGTTTAGAGCCCTTATTCTATTAAGTTAGAAGAAAGTGAAGGGTGATTATAGAGATCAAAAAGAAGAGCAAAAATAAGTGGCAAAGTCCATTTAATGCTCTATAAGTTGATGTTTCACCTATTACGATGCCATTTATACCCTTTGAGCTTATTTATGCAATATGATATGGTTTGGCTGCATTACACCTGCCTAAAATTGTTGTACCATACATGTATGGAAGTACCAAGGCTTGGCGCAATTATTACTAGGGGTGTCAATGGTATTGGAAAATCTGATTTCGAATTTGATATAATCGAATCGAATTCGGGTATGACCTAATTCGATCGATAAATATCTAAATTTGACCCATCATTTAATTCTTATATATAATATATAAAATATTTTATATAATTTATATATAATAATTAAATTATATAAATAACGTAATATTTATATACTTTATACATCAATAAAATATTTATTAATTATATAAAATAATTTATTATTCGAATTCGAGTAAGACAAAATATTTGAACATTTAATCGGATTCGAATTCGGATATTAATTTTCAATATCCGTCGAATATCGGATTTTCTAATCAGATTCGAATTTGATCCGTATACACCCCTACTTATTACCACCTAGGCATTGCCTTCACATCTGACCGGAGATTATGCAAAACAAAGAGTTGTCATTGCCTAGCAGGGAATCAATGTCGGACTCTTAAGGAATGCTCAACATTTGTTATATTTATTACCATAACATAGTAAACACATGCAAATGTTTGAACACTGTAAGAATTAGAGTTAGAACGTTTTTTTTTCTTCCGTATGATTGGGTAAAAGGTGCTCTAAGTAGGGATGTAAATGGATTGAATTCGAATTGGATCAGGCAATATCCAAATTCGAATTTGATTAAAAAATTCGATATCTGAATTCGACTCGATATTTGATGGATATTGAAAATTAATATCTGAATTCGAATCCGATTAAATGTTTGAATATCCAATTCAATTCAAATTCAATTAATTAATTATTTTAAATAATTAATAAATATATAAAACAAATATTTTATTGATATAAAGTATATAAATATATAAATTATTTATATAACTTAATTATTATATATAATCTATATTAAATATTTTATATATTATATATAAGAATTACATAATCGGTCAAATTCAGATATTTATCGAGTCGAATCAGGTCATATCCGAATTTGACCGATTAGATATTCGAATTATCTAAATTTGATTCGATTAATGTCGAATATCGAATTCAAAATGGGATTTTCAAATACCATTGGCACCTCTAACTCTAAGCTCCTCAATGATCATTAACACATTTATAGGCAATGGCCTCACATTTACTATGTGCATCTTTGTCGTAGAAAAGACCCATCAGATAATCCACCCTGCATATCAGATGTGGCAATATGTAGAGTCCTTTCCTTGATCATCTTGCATTTATATTTTGGATTACCCAGAACAATTTCATATAAAGTACTTCATACTTTTATGAACAAGTTGTGCAGAATAAAGCTGCTAGATTATTAGGAGTTTACCAAACTTGTTAATCCAGATTTCATCCTCCCAAAATTTGTTCTCACCTCACAGCAACTCCAACCATGCACTGGAAACATCTTCCTATGAATGAAAACATACAAGTACAGAGATGTTCCCAATGCATAGCTGGGGTTGTTGTGAGGACAGTGTGAGAACAAATTTTATAAGAACGAAATACTATATCCAAACTTGCTACTTAAAATAGTTTTTTACATATTTTTTTCTAGCAATTCCTGCAGACCTTTTAGTTAGGTTTATTGGTAAACTATTTACAATTTCCAAGTGTTGTCCATGTTTGAGGGCATGGTGCTAGTTTGTAGAAAAGATGAAATATAAGCACTACTCAATCTTCTGAAGAAGGCATCCTTTCTTAGAAAAGATGTTTTATGTCTCCAGGCTTATTAAAGAGTTTGATAGAGAAGTCAAGGATGTTGAAAGTAGAAATCGTCCAGATGTCAACCGGATGCTCAACGAGAAAAAGCAGTCAATGGTGTTGTTACAATTCTCAATTTATATATTGTAATAATTTTCATGGATAATGGACAAATTTATTTGTTTTCTATATGTTATAATAATTTTCATGGATAATGGACAAATTTAACCAAGAATTGATTTCATTATATGCAGATCAAAGAATTGAATTCCTATGTTGCTCTCAAAAAGCAGTAAGTTATCTTTCTTCTTTCATCTTTCAGAAGGTACCATCGTTCTGTTTATATCAAGGTTCAAAGTATGGATACGAGTCTTATCATATCAGTACTTAGAAACTGTCAAAACTTTATTTTATTTTTAGTTTTTTTTTCACGTTTTGGTTTTTTGGAAAGCTTTTAGCATGCTTTTTATTATTAAAAAAAAATGGAAATCTGAAACACCTGAAAACAGACATTTTAAACCGTATCTTTTTTAAGAAATACGATACGATACGCCCCATATCGATACTTTGAATCATGATTTATATAACAACTAAGTGTTACCAATCCATCTTCCTTCATTTGAATGACACCTATTTGTCTCTTCTGTGCATTGTATACTTTTATTTTCTTATCTTTACTTAAGCTATTAGTTTCTTTACATCTTGCCAATTTTACAATAGCCATGTAGTCATGGGCTGCCTGAAAACTTGTGTCGTTTTCAATGTTGTGCTTGATCTCTTGACATATTATTTTTCTGACTTTAAAAAGCCATGCTATCTTTATATACATGGTTGATCTGTCTCATTCACTTAATTGGGAAAATCATCAATTAAAACGATTTCGATTTTTTACTGAAATTTATTTTATCTGAGTTAACTCAGCTAGGTTTTAACTATGTTACTATTTACTTACTTTGACCTTACTATTGGAAAAGCACAAGTCACTCATCATCTGTTTATTAGCTCTCCTTATCTGTTTGTTGTTGTTCATTGGATGACTTTCTTTTCAGTAGGTTGTAAACATTCTTACTTCATAATCATCTTTATGCTTGTATGGTTTAAATCTATATCTTTGTTCTTGTCCTTTTGCTTTACTTTTCCTAGTGATATTAAACTTAATTTCTGGAGCTTCTTGATAAACTTAAATGCAATATTTATTCATTTAACCTTTTTTTAATTTCAAGTATCCTTAATTACGTGATTTTGTTTCATGTTGTTGTGGATGGCAATACAGATATGCAAGTAGTCTTGAAAACAAGCAGCGGGCTGATCTTTATGAGGGTCCTGGTGAAGAGAATGTTTTGTTGGCATCCTGTAAGCATATGCTCTCTGTTATGATGAGTAGGGATGGCAATTTTGTGGGAATTTTTGAGTATCAGACCCGTCCCAATCTTAATAGGACTTGTTTATCAAAATCCTATAGGGTTTGGGATTTTAGATTAAAACCCTATAGGGTTGGGTTTTGACTTTAGGGTATCTGATACCCGATATCCGGGATGTATAATTATGAACCTATTAATCTATTATATTATATATCATGCACAAATTTATAAATTTTAAGTACTAAGATAATTATTCTATTATTAATATTTTATTTGTATAAATTTTTTGAGATTAAAATCATCATTTGGTGTAAATTTGGATTTGATAGATTGTTTATTTTATTTAGTTATAAAATACTAATTTTAAATATTATTTCTTTTAATTTTTAGTTGGAATTGTTAATCATATATATGTATTGATTGTTTTGATGAACACAAAAGTTAATAAAATCTATTTTATTTCATTAGTTAAGATAAAAGGCAAGATGGCTTAGTGGTTTAAAGTAATGTTAAGAGATTTGGTGCTATCATTAATTGATCCAGGTTCAAGTCACGCTATAAGCATTAAGAAACCTTTTTTAGTAGAAAACCTTTTGTCAAAAGGTTTAACGGGTTTAGGATGGGACGGGTTTGAAAAATTGAGAGAAAAAGTTAGACGGATTTGAAATTACCATGAAGACCATGAGGTATTGCAAATTATGGGAACAGGAAAGATGAACAAGAACATCAGCATGAAATCTGATGATGATTTTAAATATTATTTCTTTCTTAATATTGGTTTCTCTTGTGAAATGACCATAGGCAATGAATTCTAGTACTTCTCTCAAAATGTATAATGGATGGAATTGTTATCTTACATCAGCATGAAATCTGATGCTAACTATACTGTGATAACTGTATTTTAATATCATGCTCCTTTTAGTTATATTTGATTTAGAACCTATATATTTTGCAGCCATGACCAACCAAGAATTAATGGATCATGGAAATCGGATGATGGATGAAACTGATCAGGCCATTGAGCGCTCAAAACAGGTCAGTTTCTTTACAAACAACACCTATTACTAGAGATGACATTATTTGATATTTAACATTTTAACTTTAATTACTATTTTGTATCATTCATATTCAACACTGTGGGGATGGCTATTGAATGCTCAAGACATGTCACTATTTGATTCTTTTCATCATCCAATGATAGTTGTTCACTTTCTTGTGTTCTATTCATAACTTTTGGTGTAACTTATACAGTTTAAACTTCTTAAATTCAAATGGTTGGCATTCATTGACCTGCTACTTTCACTCTAAAAGGAAGAAGAAAAAAAAAAAAAATCAGTAGTACCCCATATATCACATTTTGGTCATTCAATTTAGAGTCTTGTGCAATCTACAACCCTACAGGAAGTGCTTGTTCTTTACTTAGTTAAAATATAAATTTGTTATATTATAAGTGTATTATAATTATCTTTCTTACTTTCCACAAATAAAAATGTTTACAATAAGAAAGTAGTTAATTCAAGACAAGACAGAAGTAATGACTTCCTAAACAGTTATTGTATTCATTTGCATTGAAACATTAAAGGGGCTATTCTCCTAGTTATTTCTGAAAGTTGCAAATCAGATAGACAAGTGCCTTATGGTTGGGTTCTCTCTCCTACTTCAGCCCTTTAGTATGCACTTTCTCCATAAACAATGAATAATTGAAAATTAAAGTTTTTCTTTTTTAATTCTTGTGTAATTTACCAACTAAAGGGAAAACTAAATTCATTAGATTGATAATATAAAACTCAAAATTTAAATCATACCCCTAGAAGTCTTATAATGTCTATTTTGTGTAAAAAAGGACATTTCATTGGAATATCAAGCAAAATTGTGTGCATTATAGCCTTCCTAAAAGGAAAAATTATACTAAACCCATTTATTCAGTAGAAATCTGTATTTGAATCTAATATATGAGTATTCCACAAAAAAGTGTATTTTTAGTAATTATCAAATCAAAATTATTTAGTACATTAGTTCTTTTTCTAATAGAAAACTTTGCAAAATCAATGCCTTAATTCAAATAGAACTCTTTCTATAAGTTCATTTTACAAGTAGATTATAAGGCACATGGCATCACATGTGGGATATGAGGCAACATGGAATTTACTCTCCCTCAAGGGTGGATGCCTTTGCTTAGTTGTGATACTATGCAAGATCTTAAGTTTGGGTAAACTGAAGCTGTTAAAATTCAACTTGAAAAGTATGCACATAATGTTCTGAGAGAGGGGATGACACTTGTTTTCTCAGTATTGTATGGCCAATGATATTTTGGTGTTTTTATTCTACATTATCATGGCATATTGGAGGCTTTCACATATGCTTAGTGCCTTAAGGCTGCAAATGGATTGGAATGGGGTATATCCAAATCCATCCAATAAGAATATGAGAGATCCAAATTTGATTTGGTATCTAACCGATATGTAGAACATAGATCCTAATTCCATTCACTTATTCGAGGTTCAAAGTATCAATACGATACACCCCACATCGAGTGTATTTATCGTATTGTTGGGTTTCCAATACACCACCTATTTAAAGGTGTTTTTAAGAAACCAGTTCTTTTATTTATTAAATAATATAGAAACATATATAAAGAATACAATTTTGAAAAAAATAAAAAAAAATGCATGGCCGTGTGGGGTATAAAGTATCGATACATCCCTGCCGATACATTTAGTTGTATCAATACTTTAAACCATGCACTTACTTTCATTTATGTTAACTTAATACATTTTATCACCTAGGCAATTACTTCAATGCTTCCTTGCTACACTATGTCCCTGCTCTGCTTTATAGCTTCCATCCAAGAGGCAGTCAGCTACTAAACTCTCCAAATTGATAATGTTTTAGGGTAAGACCGTTAAGTGTTTAGTGTTAGGTTTGAAGAGCATAGTCAAAGTCCTGGGGTTCATCTTTAGTAATCATTTTCTGTGTATGATACTTGGGGTGTATAGGTGATTCAATGTGACAGTGTAGTGCTTGGTCTCCTAGCCACCTAGTCAATATGTTATGGAACTTTATAAAACAAAATCCCTAGTTCTAGGTTAGTTCCATGGTTTTTCTTATACCAATTAGTATGCATTTAAATAAAAAAATGCTCTTTATTAATAACATTTATTTTCCTCTCAAAACATGGCAAATCATTAATATCTCAAAGACAATAGCATTTTAAAAAGTTTTAATTTCAATATAAAAAATACACTATAATATATAAATATTTAGTGGAGCAATTTGATGTCAAATTAGCAACTAAAGAAAGCTACAATTTTATACTAATAAAAATTTAAGATAGAGTAACAAAAAGAAGAAAAAGAACAAGGAGCAGAACCTTAATTTATGTAGGAAAAAAAAAGAAAAATCTCTTTTGTTTTTATTTTGTTTTTGCTTTTTTTTTCTATCCTTTTCTCTTCCTAAACCCATGGTTCTTTCATATTATAATAGCACAACTTCAAAACAAAGTATATGTAATGAATGCAATACATGATATAATGTATCAACTGACATACTAATAAGATGTATCAATAGTAATAATATTGTAATCAGGCACATGTTTTCTTTCTTTCTTTCTTTCTTTTTTCTGCCTATATAGGCATCATAGTTTTCAAGGCGCCAAGGTGAGGCTGGGCGTTAGGGGGCGCCTTGTCGCTTAGTCGCCTAGGCGATGGATTTTTTTATATAGAAAACATAGATCCTAGGATAGTTTCCTAAGTACCATAGCCATATTTCCTTAATAATTATTCATAACTTTCATAAGAAAAGTATGGAGTTCATGTTAAAGTATTGAAAATGTGCTTATTAGACAAAATTTTAAGTTCTTTCTTATTGGTTCAGGTTTTAAAGTCTTTGAGGGTTCAATACAACATTTAACAATGTTTGTATTGATTAAATCCTAACAAATAAGAAAATAATAAAAACAAATTAGTATATAAACATAAAATGAATATTTTAATTTAATAGTGCCTATTTTATAATTATAATGTAAAAAATAAAGAATAAAAAAGTATTTTACAATACATAGTACAAAATTGCTTGGCGACTAGGCGAGGCGAGCCTCAAAGGGCGCCTTGTCGCCTTGACAACTATGATAGGCACCTAGTAGATGGGCACCTTTTTGGTACATGATGTGCATGTGCATGTGTATGTGTGTGTATGTGCATTTGCATGTTTGGGTCATAGGTGTATGTAGGTTTTATGGTTATTTCCACATTCAAGAGGCAGGACATTGGCTGAACAATTGAGAAATCTGGCCTGAGAAGGGGGGCATTCTTTTTTCAGATTTTGAGAGGGGGGAAAGTTGGTCAATGGGATTTTGGTTTTCATTGACCAAGAATCCCATGTTCTTTTTTTAGATTTATGTGGGGACCATGGAAAGTTTATTTTCCTGGGTACCACTTACCCGGGTAAGTGATACCCATCTCCTAGGTGGGTAAATAACTTTCCCACCTAGGGGGAAAGTTGCCAACACTTGAGAGGGACAAAAATGCCTCTTTTAATACTAGATTTTTATGGCTGAAATAATCATTGCCTTATTTACATGATAAATAAAAGAAAATGGGTAAATGCACTTACCCAGGTAACTGCATTTACCTGGGTAAATAACTTACCAAAAAGTGAACGGGCCCTAAGAAGAGTATCTATATAATCCCACTTAAGAAATCTATATAATCTGGCCTGGTGATGTTCTAGTTTGAGAGCAACCCAGCTATTACTCATTGCTAGCCCCAGCTATGTTGAGTCTTTGGAGAGCTGGACTGGGCGTGGACTTAACCTCCTTCAAGTTTTGCACAAGGCTGCTCTCAGACTAGAACATTTGAACCTGCAGTCATGCATGTGTATAGAAAGCTACATATGAGATRTGACAAGAAGCAACTTATTTCACGTTGTAAAATTGTGACTTGGGGGTTTGAAATATCTATTTAGGTGTATTACATTGGGTTGTTGCTGAGATAAAAACCATTACTCTGGGTTGTAGATTGTTGAACAAACYATTGGGGTTGGAACTGAGACTGCAGCTGCTCTCAAGGCTCAGGTATGTGTTGTCCGAAGAGATAAATCATGGTTTGCTACAACATAAAAATTTATTTCAATTTATTATTTTTGCTTGTTATGAGATGGAGCTGAACATTTTCATTTATTTTGGTATTCAGACAGAGCAAATGAGTAGAATTGTCAATGAGCTTGACTCCATCAATTTCTCAATTAAGAAGGCTTCTAAACTGGTTAAAGAAATTGGTAGGCAGGTCAATCTCTAAAATATATAAATCTCTTCTTTTAGTATGTTCAATTATATTAGTTCACTTTGTGGTACTTATTGAAGCTCTTTCTATAGGTTGCAACTGACAGGTGTATTGTCACAATGCTCTTCCTAATTGTCATGGGAGTTGTAGCCATCATTGTTGTGAAGGTGGCATTTCTTTCAACGTTCCATTTTTCTTAGTTCTCTTTTGCATATTTTTCTATTTCCATTTGTTCTTATTAAGAAAAACCAGAGGTTTCCTAGTGACAGGGAATTCTTCTTTCTTTCTTAAACTTCATCCCTGTGCACAAAACTCATGCTATGCATTCATTATTTAGAAATTAATACTGGCCTGACTTCACCTTGGATTTTAATTCCAACTTCTTGAAATACCAGATATCTAATTTTTGTACAATTATGGAAATTCTTTATGTGGAGTTGTACAAGATCTATTGTGCCTGAACCTTATTCAGAACCATCAGCTACTAGGAAAAAATGTCAAATCCTAGGTTTCATTTTGTTAATAGGTTGCTTCTAGTTCTATAGGACTTGATCATGGGATATATGCTATCCAGTTACCTATAGGATATAGGTGGTGCTGTTGTCTACAATACCAAAGAGTAGTTGGTAGACTTGTAAGCTGGTTATGATTGGTCCTGGACCACTGCCGGTACTGGGGGGTGAGAAAAAAAAACCAAAAAACTGAATCGACCGAATCTAAATTGAAAAATTGGTTAACCGAACTGATTAGTTCAGTTTCGGTTTGGTGATTTTAAAAAAACTGAAGATATCGGTTCGGTTTCAGTTAATTAATATAGAAAACCGACAGTTAATTGAACTAACCAGTATACATATATTTTTATATGTTTTCTATATATTTGTGTATATTAAATATATATATATATTTATAATATAATATATTATTTAAAATATAATATCATATATATATATATATATTTATTTATTTAAAAACCGAAAAACCGATGAACCGAACTAATCAACCAATTAACTGATAGATTTCGATTCAATTTCGATTAATCAAACCGTGAGCACCCCTAGCTGGTACCAATTGGCATATTAGAGGAGAATACATAAGACGCCCAGAAAATCCCTAATACTAAAAGGTTTTTGAAATTAGAGTTTAACATCTCATTTTCAGGGTACTAGAACTTCTTTATTAGATTATTCTGCACCATGCAATTTTCAGAGTTCATCATGGATGAGCTTTAATTTTAAAGCTTCACCATGTATTCTGAACCGTGATTGACATGTTGAACATCGGACTTCTAACATGTTCTCACTCTAGTTGTGCTTTCCTTGTTGCTACCATACTGGTTTATTGCTTGTACTTGTCTGGCACAAAAACATGAAAATTCTGGATATTACTTGAATCTGACAAACCAATGAGACAGTTATTAGACCTAAACCTCTCAATGTAGAAATGTTTGCTTTATGCTGTAGCTGCTTTGTTTATGTTTGGTATACATGCTAACTTATGACGGAGTCCTGAATTTCCAGATTGTGAACCCAAATAACAAGGACATTCAGGATATTCCTGGACTGGCGCCACCAGCTCTTAGAAGGAAGCTCCTTTGGAACGAAGATTAGAGTCCAAAAATGACATAATCTCAGGATTTCATTGAAAGCCACCTGGTATATATAAGATATTTGGTATGAGAAGTTATGCTCAAGTAGTTTCTGATGCAATCCACCCAATTCCACTTTCTGGGTTTCTTAGTGTATTATTGCCTACAAGCTCTTGTTGGAGAAGGGCAGAAGGCCTGTATGATGATACCTTGTGAGGATTTCCTTTTGAAGGCAGTATTACAGCTTGAGTGAAGATGATTGATATGTTGAACCTGAATTGGTCCACACACACCACGCCTAAAAGGCCAAGTTGAACTTGTATATCTGCAATTGTTATATCTTATTTGTCCTTGTTTAATGTAATTTTTTTTTTCTTCTTTTATTGACGATCTCATGGTTATGTTCTTGATTGTTTTCTGAAAATATTGGCAGTTTTTCAACTTTTGGTATGAAGGATATGTTTTCATGACTGAACTACCTTAGATTACATAAAATTTCAATAGATAGAATCTTAGAAGAAGTTAAACTCACTCTTAAAAAAGTTAATGCATTGGAGCATAGGATAGTTGGACCATTTAGTGATGGGCTCATACTTTTGCACCGATTTCAAACAAACAAGATGAATGTAAAAACAGTTTAAAATGTGAACCATGTTTGCATTCATGAACCAAAAAATGGGTAAATATGTAGTGTACATATTTGCATTTGCATTACAACCAAACGCAGCCTTAGTATTATTTTTGAGGAAACTGCCAATAGGAAGTTCTTTTAAGGGAAATGATTCAATGTTAAGACTTAACGGCCATGTACAATGAAATTCCCTAGAGATTCCACTAGGGGGTGTTATTTTTTTGGATTTTGAGAAGGGGGAAAGTTGGTTAATAGGATTTTGGTTCCCATTGAACAGGGAAAGTTTATTTTCCTAGGTATCATAATTTTCCCACCTAAGGGGAAAATTGTCAACACTTGAATGGGACATAAGTGCTCCTTTTAATAATGGATTTTTATGGCTGAAATGGTAATTACATTATTTACGTAGGAAATAAAAGAACATGGATAAAATGCACTTACCCAGGTAAGTGTTTCCTAAGAAAAACTTACCCAGTTAAATGCATTTATCCGAGCAAATAACTTACCGAAAAGCAATTGGGGCCTAAGAATTTGGTTGCTATATTAGAAATTTGAGTTAGAAAAGAGAATATTGTGGGGTTTTAAATATTGTGAGAAGGAATCATTCGTTTCAATTGGAAAAAAGGTATCTAATAAGCAAATTTTTGTAAGGAAAGAAAACAAATGCGAATAATGAAAAGCTTTTTGTTTTAAGACGGAAATTTTTCATTTTTTTAACATTTGATATTCCAAATCAGATCCTTGCCCTTTTTTGTATTAACTTTCAAATCTTGTATGTAGTAGCTAGATCAAATATCCTTGGCCCACCAAACTAAACTGGATGTAGGCTTCTGAACTCGGCAACCACAAATTGTGCTGCAGGGGAAGTTGTGGTCATTAAATCCTTTTGCCATTTCAAAGTTTTTTCCCTTCTTGTATTGCGTTTTGTAATCAGATGCAAGATTTCGTTTGGTGCATGAAAAAGACACATTGATCCGATATAAGGGTGTGTGGGTCGTTTTTCACCAATGCAAGATACATCAGGGTGACAAAGAAATCACCCAACAAAGGAAAGACCAAGAATTTCAACCTAACCCTTTAGATAATCAACCTTGGTAACTGTGAGAGACAGTTCGGCTTCAGTCAGTGCAAAGCCCGTTCGAATAGTCGTTACAGCCTTGTATTAGAAATATTTCTGTACTTGTCAGAGACTGTTCAATAAGTGTGAGCATGGACTTGCACTGACTGAAGGCGGACTCAAGACAACCTGAAAGCCCCCACCTCATCATCAAAACAATGAACCCAAGCCAAAGATCACAAGGATGCTCCTTCCGAAATACATAGAAATAAACAATCCCACCCAACCCTCCCAGACCCTACCTTATGCTTATAGTATTTCAACGTTTCAAAATGATAAAAGATATCATATCATATCAATTGACAATTGTTCAGCTCAAAATAACAAAGAGAGTTCCCATTCATCAAAACTCTTGATATACACTTTTTTCCCCTATCAAGAGTCTCAATACTTTGAACCTTGCTGGCCCTCATTGGGGTGTGTGGCATAGCTGTAGCATAACACGGGTTGTGCTAGGCACAGTACGATAATCATAGCAATTGGGCCATGCCAAGCCCAACATGATCCTGGCCCAAACCCCTGTGCCATGCCGGGTTTTGGTTTTGAGTCGCACGGGCTGGCATGACATGGCATGAACAAGCCTGCGACTCAAACATGACATGACTTGGATGGCAGTCTGGCCCAGCCCGGTACAAAATTGGCAAGTGCCGGTCCACCTGAATGATATAGCCATTGGGAACACTCCCTAATGGTCATTTTTCACATTTACAAATATAGCCACAACAACTATAAACAACTAATTTGGGGGTATTTGTGTGTTTTGGCTTTGGGATAAGGAAAAATGACTTAAGTGCCCCTAACAGCTATATAATAGTTAGTTTGGTGGCATCTTAGTAAAGTGATAAATACCTTTGAGAAATACCAAAATATCCTTCCTAACAATTAAAAATGACTAGTTTTAAGAGTATTTTAGTCAATTGAATTATTTTCAACTCCTATAAATACTCTTATCTTACCTCATTCTTATCACACTAATTCTCATACTCTCTCATACTTGCATACTCTCGTTCATTAGTCCCTATTTTTCAACTTTATTTAAATTTTAATAAAGAGAAAGCTTGCTCAAGTGTCTCAAGCTATCAACTTGGGAGGCTAAGATGCTTCATCAATTAAAATCAAGTTGGGATTCTAGAGTGGCAAATCAGGTAAGTGGTAATTAATTTTCATTTCTTAAGGCTTTAATATTTGAAAATATTTTAAGATGGTTAGTTCCTCTTAAACTCCCTTTTCCTATAGCTTTAGCTTGGATGATGTCCTAATGAACTTCATTTTTATTTACAAGTTAATTTAACAAATTTCCTCACCTTTGAGGAATTACGTACTTTTGATATTTTTAGCATGGTGTAAAGAACATGAAAAAAATTATCCAATGCATATTTACCACCATGGCATGTGATCTATTAACTCCCCTATTGTTCATTATTCTATTGGAATCTTGTTTTGGTGTAAGTAACAAGTTATTGGATGATAAGAAAAACTACATGAATGATGAAAATATGGGAACATACATATGTTTAATGGACCAATTGGGTGCAGATGACAGATTGCAAGATCAAGGAAACGGCACAACACTTTAACCGATGGCTCACTAGATGTTGCAAATCAAAATCAAGGAGATGGAAGAGGTCAGACTTCAAGAAAATATCGAAGTCAATATTTATTTGAATATTTAATAATTGCACAATATCTTTAAAATTTATTGTAAATTTTGTTTTTCAATTTTTATTTAAAGCTATTTGTAATTTTTCAATCCCATTGTACTCAATTGCATTGTAATTTTTTTTAACTTAATTTTATTGCCTCATATATGATCAATTGTATACATTAAATTCAAATAAAATAAATCCATTGGATTCCTTTAAATTTGTTTTCTATTTTGTTAATTTTCTTTTATCTTTCCATTTTTTACTTAGCAAAAAAGTGAAAAAAATAAACAAGAAAAAAAGGAAAAAAAAACAGGCACGTGATCCAACACAGCCCGCATGACACGACACGACCCACATTATATCTCTAGGTGGGGGTGCTATATTTAATGACTGGGATGCACACACAGACCCACATTCACAACAGAAAGCCTGGTCTTCCGGCAGGTGACCAACTGAATTACTGAGTCATCGGTATCAGATGTTTTGTTTTTCTTCCTGCCATGTTCCGACTGATCACCAATTTAGTTGACAAGCACCATTACCATATGCCTCATCTCCTTCACTCCAAGCAAAAATTAGTTTAGATCTATTCATGGGCTGGGTAGCCTGGCAGACTTGTTTATGGGTTCAGGGTCAAATATATTTTGAAGCCCGTAGGCTTGGGCTTCGGCTTTTAAATAAGTCTGTCCTGATAATATTAGTAATAATAAAAAATTTATATTTGTAATAGCTATTAGGTAATAATTTGTATTTTATATATGATTGTTGTTTGAATTTAGGTGTATAATTGTATTTTATTTGTAATGTGCAAATGTGTGATTGGATAGAAACAAATTAAAAGAATGTATATAAGATTAGAAGATAGAATTAAATCATTGAATAATGTATGTACACCGGGATTAGACTCGGGCCTATATATTTTCTGTTCGCCCCTGAACAGGTCTAATCCATGCTCCGTCCTTGTCCTGAAACTAGAAATTTGTTGCCAAATATCTCAAGAACAACCTCTACTTTGGTTTTTCTAAGGCAACTATTCAATTTAGGAGAGAGAAACAAAACAAAATCCACAAGTTAACACATCTTTCAAAAACTCTAACATGTGGATCCATTCAATGTCACATTAAAAGAGTCTGGATCTCCTGTTCACACAAACTCTGCCCACGTCTGCCCACATAACATCATAACTACACATGAAGAACATCTCATCTTCCTACATAGTATTTTGCAGGGAGAGATGTTCCCAATTTCACAGGGGTAGTGTGTTGTGGGTAGATATGGGCATAGTTCTCATGGGCAGGAGATCCGAAGTCCCATTAAAGCATTTTCTTATGGTTGGATCAAGCCAGATAAGCAAACCAGATTGAACAGGTCTCTAGCAAGAGATCTCCTGCTGGGTTCGGTCAGACATTGAACCAAACAAATGCCAAGTAAACTAAAAACTAGATTGTTCAATCAATGGTTCAACCAGAGAATTAATTGATCACCTGACAACCCATTTAGAGGCCTTTCTTTTTTTTTTTTTGGATTTTGAGAGGGGGGAAAGTAGGTCAATGGATTTCCGTTCCCAATGATGAAGATATCCCATGTTCTTTTTTTGCATTTAAAGTAATTTGACCACCTGGGGGCGA